AGACAGTTATTCAACAACTTCATACCTAACAGTATTATATATTGATAGTGGATGTTGTGTTCAAAGTTTCTCCAAACACTATACCTTTTCATTACTAATACCACAATTTTACACACAGTAAAATTTGGAACATGTTTTTCTTAGGAGCAAAACTCCATAGAAACTGTCAAAATAGTAAGTATATTGTATTAGTGGCCTCAAGTTTATTGCAAGCTTACTTCTCCATCTTCTGCAATGTAAGTGAAAGAAGCAGCTACGGAGATGGTTCTGAGCTCCATCACTGAATTCTAAAATGATCACCTCACTTATTCATCACCAAAAAGAGCGATCAAATATTCAAATTTCGTAGGCTATACATTCAGGCAGTATATTATTTTAGTACTTGAAACTTGGAAAAAGAAACTACAACAGTTTACATTAGTTGAACAGAGTTTTTCATAGATGTGAAAACAGGAAGGATAACATGCCTATAGATCAACCCCTTATATTCAAGTCATTTAGAAAGGCAGGGCAGTATTTCAAACACAGGCTGACGAAAGCTACATTACTGACAGGTATCAAACACTGACATTTTTCTTCAATGCGTATGTACACACACACACACACACAGAGGTTGCTTGACCTTCTAAACAAGAACCCCGGTATGCAAAGGAAGCACATTTAGGAAAGTAGTTAAACATGTTTAAAAATCCATTAGCTTGGTACAGCAAGCATGCACAGAATACATGATTGCGGTTAAATTTATATATTGGCATTGATATACACTTCATGGCCCTATTAGCCTCTCTACTGGGGACGGATCATGCAAATCATGCAAAAACCATTAATGGTATTATTACAATTACTGTAGTTTTAGGGGGTTACACTTTCACTGATATTTATGGGCCACTTTACATATAACACCTAGATAACATGATAGCCCACATTTATCTTTTTGACTGCTTATCAAAACCGACTCAGTTATTTAATTACAAGAGACATTGAAGGTAATTAAAGAAATTCCTAGGCAACATCTGCTTTCTGTCACAGAGTAGCAGGGAGAAGAGGTCTGTCAAGAGTGACACCTTATTTCTAAGACATTTATTAACTCCAACTTGTTTCTCCTGACTCCAGAATACAGCTATATACCTCTAACAATGCTTTAACTTGTACATTCTTTCACCTCACATTTTTAAGGACGTGTTATTACTAATGATTATGGGGTTTACTTTCATTTCCTATCTAATGGGAAGAATTTTAACTTGAAGTCATAACTGCTCTATACAGGTAAAATGCTAAACATAGTGACCATTTGGTGAAAAGTTAAATTAACCATGCAAAAAGGCAGTTCATGCTTATACTAGGCACCCATTTTAAACAAATGTGAACTTTCTCATCCTTCTCAGAAGCCAACCACATACCAAACCACATGGCATAGAAACATTAAGGATTCAGTGTAAGAGAGACAAAGGCTAGTAAAGAACTTAATGTAATGGGGCAGAAGACTGTTTTTCAGGGTGAGAAAGCCGTTTCCAATTTCTCAAACAGATTTAAATGGTCTTTCTGTAACTAGTTTCTAACGTAATCCATGAGCTGAGAATACAGTTTACCCTTTCTGTCTTGTCAAAGCCTGTCACAAAGCAATTTATGGCTAGAGGTGAAGTTGGCAAGGTAATGGGAGCATCAAATTTAGAGGCAATTAGCTTAGCAGGGAACCCATTCCACAGGGACTGCTGGCAAGAGGTGTTGCTGTCAAGATAACAGGCAAAAGTGGGGTCACGGTAATTACATGGACAATAATTGGGGAATTGATTAGTTACCTGTCAATGTTTAAATAACTTACCAAACTCAGTAACAAGAATCACCTGCCAAAGTGAGGGTTAAGATGAAAAAGGAATTATCTTTTTTGGTGATCATTACAATATAAAGACCTCCTTTAAATTTAACTTGGCTAACAAGTTTTTAAGTATTTTAAAAGCTGGACTGCTAGACCAGTGAGAGAGAGATAATTTGGTGACAGAAATATCCAGGCAATTTAAAACAATTCTAATTCTCAGTAGCCTTTGGCAGAATTAAGGGATAATTTTAGAAATTATTACGAAGAGACTGTTTATGCTACCTACATTTAAGAAGATCTGAGAATTTCCAGGACAAGGACTGCAGGTACAGGTAGTATTTCTTATTAGGCCAACTAGTATAGTTGAAAACACAAACAATAAAACGAAAAAACTAAAAAAAAAAAAAAGAGAAAAATTAGAATCTGGTGGAATATATATTAACACTAATAAACTGGAGAATACTCCAAAAGATCATCTCACAACACTGCAGAGCCAAAAAGAGGTGATGACTGCTGATATTTGAATCCAGTCAACTCCCTCTAACAGTATTGCTTCCAATAGTAAGGAGCCTCTGAAAAGGAAGAAAGCAGAGACTCCTTCAAACTTGGAGATTTGCTTTCTCCGGCACGTTGTAATCCATTGTTGTCCACCTAGCTCTTTACAAGCAAAGGGAGAGCAGGAAGCATGAAAAAGCGAAGAACAAAAAAAACCATAACACAGCATCACTTCTGTGACTGAGCGGCATTGTTAAGACTTTGCATTATTTGTGAGAAGTGGATTTCAGAAGCCATGCCAATAAGATAAGATAAAATGTTTACAGGCCATAGGAATACTACTTTAATTTCAGTTCCTAATTATCTGTTGTGAAATACCAGATCAGTTAAGACTTTACTACTGGAGCAGACAATAGTAGGACTCAATAGACAGAAATAGCAAGTTATAATTTGAATTTAAGATCGTTAAACATTAGTTAGTCTGCCTGAAGGCTTTCTTTAATGGCTTCTTTTGAGTAATATTTAAATACCTTCTCTAGTTTTGCATAACTTAGTTAAAAGGTATTTACCTATGGCCAATTCATAAGGCAATTACATTATTCTTGACAAACCAGCCAGAGTTTCCCTGTCTCTTTTTCTAGTATCCTAACAGCAGCATCTCTTGTTGGTATGGACTTCTCGCACAATTAACATCTTCATCAGAGGAAGGCACACCCTCAAGAGAATAAGTTCTTTTGAGAGCTCTCCACAGACAGACATACAGAAGAGATTGTAACTGAAGTGATCATTGATTACACCTTGTGCTTTATTTTATTCTATTTGCCTTTTTCTTCAGTAATAAAAAGATCATTAGTTAATAGCTGTGATTATTTGGCTTATCTTTAATCATGGTTAAGAAACTAACCTAAGTGATGTGCATGCCTGCAGGTGGGGATAGGGGAAAGAAGGAAGGAAAGATGCCTCCTTCCTGAACTGTCTTTAAAGAAGATTTGCCCCTGTATTTTCTGTAGGCTGTAAGTGTTCCATATTGTCTAAATACAAAATTACTTGATGGTGAACACCCAAAGAAGAAACAAAAACCCTTTCCTTCCCATGCTACTCTTCAATTACGCACAGATGGTAGGAACTGCCCATTGAACTAACAGCTCTCACTAATCTTTCTGGCCTAATCATATTACAACCTGCCCTTGCAAAAAACAACTTGGGCACGCTTCATGCTTCCTTGTCCTGTTCCCTTGTTTTTCATGTGAACTTCTGCTTAGTTCTTTCCTTCACGCTGCTCTGTTCTTGGAAAAGCTCTTGCATTCTGCCTTCCCATTGACTCCCACACAGAAACAATCCTGGGAACCCGCTCATCTTTGCTGCCTTGTTTTGTTCCACAGTCTGAACTCCCACTGTACTGTGAGATTTCCAGCAAAGGTGCTGATCTTTAGAAATTAAATGCATATAAATGGCTGCAGAGAATATCTGAACTTGCTTTTGTTACCAACATTTAGCAGACTCCTTAAAAACAATTTACATCCCTACAGGTCTACAAACCCCAAAATAAAAACCAGCATTTAACATAATACAGGAAGACGGAGATGCACTTGGCAAAGATAGGTTCAGAAGGACTTCTTATATGTGAAGGAAGATTGTTCTTTTTTTGATAAAAAAACAGGTTAACTGATAACGTCAGGGGACAGTAAACTATTTCTGAATTTAGGACAGATTCAAGTTCATAGTTACATGATGGAGGAGGGGGGGAGTATTCTGTGCAAGGTGAAACAAGGAGAGTTGCAAGAGTTAAATAGCCTCAAAGTAAAATGTTTTATTTTAGGTCAAAACTGAACTCTACCAGTTTTTTTTATTTTGCTAAAGGGAGGCAGAACATTTGTCCTGTAGATGAACTCAAATTGTATTTTTTTTAATCTTTACCCACTGACTATTAAAAGCATTATTCTCATGTCTCTCATAATAGCATTCTATCCAAAATGCTAACACTGTTCTTAACATGGTCCTAAGCTTTTCAAAAGTCTCAACCGAAAGCCAAACACTTGAAGAACAATATTTACTATTAACAATGACCGTTCTCACCCCCTCAACTCAACTCCTCCAAACACTGTATAACAGTATGAAAAACAAATTTATTAAAAATACTTATGAATAGTTAAAATTCTTTTTACAGATATGTAAATAACAGATCACATAGGACAGTGTGGAAACCACAGTACTGAATATGGGATTTATGTGGATCACTCCAAGAAGACCTTTCAAAAAAGGAAATTGTTCAGATGCCTTTTCAGAGTGGCAAACTATGATTAGAGACTTCATGCAAGGTGAAAGGCTCTGCTGCTAGAATCCACAGGAAGCAGTGTCACTGGCTGATGCTGACAACACTAAAGATCTACAAAAGACCCAACAGGCATGGGAAGCGAGCAAGGCAAGGTTGAGAGAATATTTGGTAACAGTCCCACTTACTTTGTTTTATTTACAATCTTATTTATAATCACCACACTTGACTTTAGAAAGTAATGAACGCACACCAGATAGTTCTGGTTTTCTTTTTCACTTTTCCTTATCAATATTCTTACAAAGTAGTAATTGTTTTAGCACAGAACAAAAAATACATGCTTTGACATCTCTAGAATAGGTTAGCATGTTTATTCTCCAGTGCTCACACACGTCTTTCACAGCTACAGTTTCATAGCTTCTAGCAATGAAAACTCTTAACATTTCTAGCAATAAGGGCTTACTTACTGAGCATTTGAAATACAATCACAATTTGATAGCTGATGTCGAAAACTTCCTTCCTTCTGACAGCCAGCCTTTAAATAACAGGATCTAATTTCCCCTTTAGAAAACACAGAAGGAAAAAAAAAAATCAGTTCAGTGATATGACTATTTGTTTTGCAAAGTTTATAAAAAAATATATTTTAGGTCAGGCATATCTATAAATATAGTTTTCAGTCTGTGCACTAGCCTCACTTTAGACTTCAGAAAGCAAATTAAGATTTGAACAACTGAAAACCCAGGACAAATCAAAACACAGAAGTTACAATGAAAGTTTAAAAAGTATGCAAAGTAAAAGCAAAGGCCATCTATTAATATAAGTTCACTGTAAAATGTGAAATCATCAGATTTTTTTCTTTCAGCTCACAAAGGTGGGTCAGGAGGTACAAAGCAGGAAAAAATTCTGCTAAAAGTGTAGCCACTGCTACTCTCTCCTTGCATAAGCAGCAGAAAGTGAAGGGTCACTGCTCATTGACCCAGAGGTCATGCCATCTGCCTGGCAGGCAGCTGCTGCTCTTAACCCCACCACACACCAGGGGCTGCACACAAGGCCAGGAGGAACTGGCAGAAAACCAAAGCATCTCTGGGGTCACGAACCCAGCCACCATGAGCACTCATTCCACATTGGTTTTGAAGGCAGCTTTAACGGAAACACAGCTTTTGGGACAGCTGCCTTTCAGAGGTATGGGCCAGTACCTCACAGGGCACTACATGGAGTTCAAACAAACCATCCCCAAGTATATTACACCTTCAGCCTCCAGGAATAGCTGCAGAGCAGCAGGATACCAAGCACAGGCATGAGGCAAGACTAGGTCACTCATTAATTCTCTTGAAAGGGGTAGCAGACCACGACTCTGAACAAGAGCAACCACCACATTATCAGAGAGTGTTCAGTCGGAGCCAGCTGAAGAACAAAACTGTAAAAAGGAGGAACGTTTTGCACAGTCAGGCCAGTGCAAAACTCCTCACCAGGCAGAAAGCACCAGGGGTTCTTCTGCAAAGACAGAAGTAGTCTTCTGGCCTAGCCAACATTTTTTGAAGATGACGTTTGGAAGAAACTTTATGCACTGTGTAAGCCTCAGGTCTGTGACAGTTGCTGGTGGATTTTGAAAACTCTAGTTATTGCTAATCTGACTTTAAATTACTGAGCCCTTTCCCTTCATGCATGCAGAAAAACACACAATCAGTAACAGGCAAGAGAAATATCCTTCTAGGACATTTAAAGTTTCCTCACACATTGTAATTATTCCAACTACAGAAACTCACCATTTTCATCTATGAACACGTGCATTGCATCCACGGATAGCTCATCTTGCACAGATGCCTCAGGTCCGCTTATTACTTGCAAGACAGAGCTGTCTTGCTGAGAAGTTACCCGGTAGATTATCTGCCTTTGCCTGTTGCCCTGGTAACTTGACACAAAAATGTTTCAAAACTACTATGAGGAACTTTTTTCTTGTTCTCAATAAAATAAAAAGAAAGAGACGTTAATTAAAAGTTTATGTCATTTCTGCTCAGCGAAACAAAACAGCTTACATCATATCTTTGAAGTACAAAATAGTAAAGTAAACCGGCCTTACAGTGCTGCAAATTTGGCAGACTCTGGTAGCACTGGACTAGTACTAGCACGATCTTGGCTTTGCACATCTGATCTTTCCTGTTTAGGAAGTTGCTCACAGTGCTTTTCTGTTCCCACCATTTCTTCTTTTCTCTCTGTCGTCTGGCTATCTGGAAAACAGGGCAGTGAAGTGGAGCCACTCTACAGATGACTGTCAAGAGCTTCATTCATTAACTACTGAACAAGAGCATCTACAAGAGAAAAGCTAAACCACTGCAGTAATTGCTAGTTTTATGGAAAAAATACAATCACAGAAATCTGGATGAGGAGGTACTCTGACTCAAGAAGGCTGCATGAATGGGTTGTTTCGAGAACAGCTGCGTGAAACAAAGGACAAACAAGAGAGAATTCCTGCTTTGCTTCTCCTATTGTTTCAGGGGGAAGCAATCTGTCCCTAACCTAGAATGGTTAAGAAGCTGCTTCCCTGGGGGCCGTGATTTGTTCCCAAGCTGGGTATACTGGCAGAGGAAACGCAGAAGCACTGGCCCATTCCCCTTTTACAAAAGGGAAAGCAGCACCTTCAAAGGGAATGGAGCTCTTGGACTGGACAGCAGGTAGCTGCCTAATCCTCTTCCCCACTGGCCACACCCCTGATGCAGAACAAAGGACAAACTGGCTAAACAATTTCACAGTAGATTATCCTATGCTTGGAAAACACAGAACTATAGATTTTAAAATATACATGACAGACTTGTACCATTTCTACTACTTTGAATACCAACTATATTTATATTACCTCTCTACACATGTACATCATTTACTTTATATATAATGTGCATAACTTCTCTTTTTTAGTTCCTAACATTTTTGTTGAATACTGAAACATTTTGCAACTGTGCTTTGACTGTAAACTAAAAAAATTACCTATTAGGATTTTGAAGTGCAACTAAGACAGTGATTTCGTCACCACCATGTGCAATCGCACAATTAAATGCTTTAAATGGAAAAAAGTTGCAGATGCTTCAGGGAGTCCCATACCTTCTTGCACTAAGCAAGGTGTATTGAAATATACTTACACAGTCTTCTTGCAATACCTGCTGTTTAAACACCTTAGAAATTTAATCATCAAGAAAACAAACCAGAAATTCCCCCCACAAAAAACTCCATTTCTTAAACCATATTTCCTACCACTACAATTACCATCCTAACCTGCAAGAGCCACCAGCCAAAAAATAGTGGTGTCATAGCTAAGATGGTCTAAGGATAAAACATTCAAGGCATGTAGAGCGATGCAGTATCTTTTAACAGGCAAATGAATAAAATTGAAAAAAGCAAACAAGCTTTTGGATATGCAGACCTTTCCGATCATCAGTCTTTTTTTCCTCCAACCACATCAGCTGATCTAGTAACTCATTACTTCTACAAACAAACCTAACTTCACGAGTTAAGACATCTCTACACCAGTTTCAATTCACAGGACACACACCTCTAGTACCCTAAAGCCTCAGACACTCTCACATAACCACTTTTCACTGCAGACACTTCACGCTTATTACTTTTTTTTGGGGGGTGGGGGGTGCAGAAGGGGCCAGGATCCAGAAACGTAAGAACTTCAATTTTACCACCACATCTTGTCCCAGAAGGTCTCAGCCCTTAATGTGAAGCACACAAGCAGCACCAAGCCCGAAGAGTCTCACTGGAGACCCAGATGCTCACCAGCCAGGGTACCAGAAGCAAGAAGGTGCAGGTAGTAGAGATAAAGATGCCGTGTTTGGAACAACAGCATTCCTTCAGCTTCCGCAGGAGGAAAAAAGGGATCTCGCTACAACACTGCCAATGTTCTGAGTCTCCTGCTCTCTTCCGGCAGCAAACAACGATCAAGGATCCTGCTTCTTGTGCAATAAATACAGCGAGGATAAATTTGGTTTAGGGAAATTTTCTGTATCTGTTTTGCATGGAGACAAAATTCAATAGGTCTTCCAAACTTACTTTCTTCTACTTGTGAGGGAAAAAAAAAAAAAAGCAGGGAGGGACATGGACAACACTTTTTTCCTTTCCTAATTAAAGATTTTAACTCCATTTTAAGCAGAAACTGTGTCTTATTTAACTGTGGCATTATTGAAGCATCCCCTTAATGATGTAACTGTACCTGAGGGAGGTGACAGAGCCCACAGACACCTAATCGAAATCACCTTCCTAAAGGCTTTGGCTGTTCAAGCTGTAAGAATAATTGATAGAGATCAGAAACTGTGGTTTTAATAATCTAATTGGTCCCATATTGCCCAAAACTAGCTCTAGGGCTGGAACAATTAAAAAGATTTTTTGATTTTATTATCTCGTGGTTTTAGAAAATGCCTCTCTCTTTTCCATTCCAAACCACAAGTCTTGCAGACTTCTTTTCCCTGCAGTGGTAGAGAGTCATAATAACAAAAACATAAACATACTGCTTCTTAAAGACTTTATATGCCAATGAGACAACACCATGGTGGTGAGTACTTCCAGCACTGGAAAGGTGCACCATGACGGGTTTGTGACTGGTTTTCATGATTACTACTCGTTTTCTTCCGAGTGACTTACACCTTCAGTATTTAAATGGAGATAGAGGTGTCTAGACTAGGAGTGTTCTGCCAGGGTATGTAATCGGCTCTATGTCACCAAATGCTCCTTGCATGGAAATTGTGCTGGCAAAGCTGAAGATGCTAGGAAAACCCCTCTCCAAGAGCAAGAGAAGAGTAAAAAGCACAACATGTCAGTGTACCTGCACCTCCCCTGTGGCCTCCTGCGAGAGCCATGCCATTTGCCCCAAGCCACGCTCCACGCATCTCTGGTGGTACACACAGCTGGGTTCATGGAATCCCCAAGCTCAGCCCCAGGCTCAGAAAGCAACTTCATAATTTACCTGGAAATTATATGCCACATGACTCAGATACAATGAGGCATAACTATCAGGATTCATGCCTACGTCAGGCTTGGGGAAAGGTGATTCAGAAGAGTCCTGCACAAGTTTTGATCTGTATACCATTTTCATATTTTGGCTGAGCAGTAAGATACATCCTTCAGTTTTCCTGGTAAAATCCTTACCAAGATGAACATTTCTTATATGTCCCATATGGGTATAAGATACTTCCTGTAAACATTTTTATTTGCACTAAAGAGTTGTAACAGCATAGCAATATCACTTAAAAATATAACACCCCAATGCTGACAAATGAGCTCCTAATTTAAATGCAGTTACACTACCAAACTTTCCTTTGCCATTTAACTTTTTCATTTACGGAACAGATTTTAGGTCTCCCAAATCTCTGTAGACAAGCACTGGGAGGAGGCTTACAACAGTTTTACAGTTGAAATGGAGCAGCCTTCGTACATATAGTAATCACATTAACAGTCAGTGTATCTCAACATTACCTAATAATAAGGCAACTTTAATTAGAATGAAATGTTATTGCTTTGTAACTTTTCTCCAAAACATTTTCACTATTTTGTGCCCTTTCTCCAGAGCCTCCCAGACGTTTTTCCTCATCTTTTACTTGTATATCGCTATCCCAGTCTCCACAAGTCACTCCTGTAAGTTAAAAAGCCACTGCTGTCATAATTTCCAATGCCATCTGGTTTGAAATCTGGTCAAGCAGAATTAAGCTAATTAAGCCTGAGTCTCGCCTGTTCATTAATTGCCCTGCTACAGAATCTACTTCCTTCCACAACGCTACACTCGAAAATAGGAAGTTTCACTTTAAAATATATTTGTTGCCTGTTCAGTCACAAAGATAATTTATTTCAAATGGCTCTACACTCTTTGCTAACAGCAGTTAGTAAAATCAACTAGTTAGTTGGAGAACCAACTAACTGAAACAAAAGCTCTATGAGTTGTGAACTGTCCCATTCATATCTCTGGAAAAGATATCCTAAGGACAGTCACAACCCTTTCCTCATTGACTGCTTTAGCAGAAACATGTAATTTACATGCTTTATTCTCAACCCAAATTTGCCTATTATGCTACAAATACATTAAAAGAAAAATCTGACATTAAAGCTGGTCACCCACCAAACAACAGGAGTTCCCAGGGAACATGACACAGTCCACAAATTGCTATGAAAGTTCAACACAGGCACTGAAGAAGCACATGGGATTATCCATTAATCCGGATTACCACATTAATTGTGGAGCGATAGGAAAAACTAGCAACACTCACTGTACCTGTTACAGGACAGAGAGACTGAAGCACAGAAGTGACTTGCTCGAAACAATCTCCTAGGCCAGCAGCAGAGCTGGGAATAAAATCAAGGTTTGTGAGGTCTCAGATAAGTAGTCTAATCATTATACCTAACAATTATGTCAGAACACAGACCTCTGAAATAACCTCATAACTTCTTTACAGGTGTCAGCCTTGTCATCAAACATACTATTACCTCTTTGACTTAAAGACTGAAATTTTAAAATCTCAACCCATCAAGCCTTACACCTCGAGTATCAGATTTAGAGAACTGAGTTCTGCACCCCTTTTCCTCCCCATCCAAAGAAGGGCATCAAATGCCACATGGTCCTACTCTGGCATAAGAGTCAGGGATGGCACACAGCTGCTCCGAGAGAAGAGCTAGTACCTGGCAAGGCTTAGGTCCTAGGTGCTACCTGCCTGCCAAACACCCCCGCTGTCACCTCCCACCATGGCTGTCATTTGGGCTGGTGACTCAAGCCACAAGATCCCACTTCCTCATGATTACATGGCAGGCGATAGCCTTCTTTCTCACATGCAGGAGAAAAAAACTGAAGAGTCTAAAAATATCCACAAGAGTGTGTTTTAGTTTTTTTATAGAAGGGTAATTGCTTGGGATCCAGAAGAACTCACTCGAGGTTGTGGTTTGTGCACTGCCCAGAATGATGAGTACTTTTTCCAAAAAGAGCCTGCAAAACATCTAAATTCAGGTCATGCAGTCCTAGTTTGCGTTCTCCCATGCCGGTCGCCACTGCTCCCAAGGCAGGCTTTACTCTCTGGGTAAGAACATTACCTGTCCTAGATTACAAGCCAGCTGTGCCAGAGGGGACATACATGAGCCTTTGCCCTGTACATCTGATACATACATGAGCCTTTGCCCTGTACATCTGATACACAGTTGCTCTTACTCAGCTCCAGGCATGTTGGAGGCACACAATGCAGCCCAATAAACCTGACTTTCGTTATGCATCTCAAACACTGAAGAAAATTTGCAGTTGCCCTTCAACAGGCTTTCATTACATGGGTGGTACAAGTTTGATTTAAAACTGAAAGGACACTGTCCTGAAAGTCGTTTTTAGTGTCAGTGGTACTTTCTCACGATCTAGAAGAGACGGGGTGGCAACAGAACAGCCCTTAGAGACAGCTTTTTTATGTCCTGTATTTTATCACATTAAATCTGGCATCCTTGGTAGTGTTAAGCAAGGCTTTAACTTTCTTGTATTGCATTTTACTGAGCTATCTACTGGCAAAGGCTTATGTAGTCAAGACTCTACGTCTTCCATTTCCACACAATTCACAAGTGCATGGACGGAGCACCCGTAATAAAGACCCATCCATGACGTTCACTCACTTGCAAGACTGTTCTGATGAGCACATTTCCCACCCCCTTCTCCAAATTATGCAAAATGTCAGCTTTCTTACACACAGCTTCGAACACCCAGCTTTCCAAGAATTCGCCAAGTTTCTCACATTGCCTAATAAACACCTTTGTGTGGTGCATTTCATGCTCATTTGGACCAGGCATCTCTTATTAGCTTTTGCCAATTAGGCGGTTTGCAAGGTTAAAAGAACAAAACCCAAACACAGCCAACCTCCTCCCTCAAAACTGGTGCACTGTTTCACTTGCTCTGTATTCCCCACATACATTTTTTTTTTTAAACAACCGCTTTAATGTGGGAATAATGTTTATTCAGATTTGTTCTAAGATGCTATTTTGTTAAAGCATATTTGTAATTGTAAGGCTGTAAACAAATTAGAGGCTTTCTCATTCCTAAAATCTAGTCTTACTGTGAGGAAGCTGCCAGTAATGACAGTAATTTATTTTAGCAAACAGCACATTCTGACTAGGCTAGAAAACAAAGCCTACTTGCTCTTAAAAATAACTGCCTTTGAACTACCTCTCCCTAGCTTGAAGAGTTCAGATTGAATCTCCTTCTTCCCACAGCGCCAGTCCGAGAAGCAAGAGACACCTCGCAGCGACAGGAACAGCAGCCGCCATCCCCACTCCTGCAGGGCATCCCTCTTCCCGGCCCCACTCCTTTCCCAGGGTGGCACTTGCTGGGCCTACGCTGGAAACGAGCCGGGCCACTTAATTATACGTATGTGCAGCTCAGCTGTGCCATCTCACAAACATACAGACTTAAGAAAAGGGGAATGTAGGAAATTCAGTTCAGGTTGCTTTAAATAACAGCTTGGTTTGAGGGAAGAGCAGGACCCTTCTGTTTCCTTAGGAGCTTGGATTCCAATAGAAGAATCTTGTTTGCCAGATCTAAAGCACATTAATCAAGTTTTGGGTTTGGGGTTTTTTTTTTTGGTCACTGTAGAATCTATGAGTTTGATTTATTATGATCACTCATTGTTTTCTTTTATGCAGAAATCTTCCCCATCCCTATTATCTGAGGGTACTCATCTGAAAGCCCTTTCTAAATTAGCTGCACTTTTTTTTAATTTAATTTACCTCTGAAATTTTTTTCATTTCTCTTTTCCAGCTAAGTCACATCACACAGAAGTCAAATTATTATATAAATACTCCTTTTTACAGTTCAGGAGTAGCAAAGATGCCAATCCATTTGCTGCGACCCTCATTTTGTTGTGTGCTGCTGCACAGGGAGGTGACCCTGCACCCAACACCCTGCACCCCAGGGACCTGGCAGGGCAGCCTGGGCTCAGCTGAGCCGGCTCTGGTGAAAAGCAGGGCTTGCTCAGCACATGTCTTAGGAAAACAGAGAGTATGGACTGGAGCCAGCTGGGCAGGCTGATAAACTTGATACAGCAAGACAGAAACTGCTCTGCAGAACAGTCTGAGAAGGCGGGAGAGATGGGTAAGATAGACCAGAAGAGAGGCACCAATCCTAGGAAGAGCAAAATTTGACTAGGGAATGGAGAGGAAGATAAGTACAGGAGAAGTGAGTGCAAGCCATGGGGAGGCAACAGCTTTAGGTGAGCTCAAGAGAGTAGAAAAGTATAAAAAAGAAACAACGTGGACTGCTAGGAGGAACAGAGGGAAAGATGAGAGAGAAACTGTATGAAGATGAACGCGAATAATGAGGTCGCACAGGCAAGATGTACAGTGGCTAAATGGAGAAGGGATGAACAGGGGAAGAGAAGGCACAGAATTAGAAATACTAAGTGGAAGGAAAAAAGGACACAAGTGAAAGGTGCAATGAGATATGGGCCTAACGTAACTGATAGGACAGATAGGAGGAAGGAAAGTTAAAAAAGGCAGAGATAAAGGCGAACAGAATCTACAGGTAGATGACACATCAAGAAAATAAAACTATCTACTTTTTTTTTAAAAAACAAGATAAAAATATGAATTTCACATTTATTTTTAAAAAAGCTGACGAACTCTGAAATCAGCTGTGCATTTTTCATGTAATGGAAGGTTCTTGCAGGAACGAACCAGGGGAGCAGAGACTCCCTTAGAGCCTGTCTATGGACAGGGATACCATTGTAAAACAGGAGCACCAAGCTGTTCTGCTGTTTCTCACCTTCCATGCAAAATAGGTATTGAGACTGCATCCTCTTAGGCTGTCTTAGGATCAAAGGTAAACGAAACGTTTTAGAGAAGGGAAAGATACAGGCTGTCTTATTTCAGTTTGGCCCAGATCTTCTAAACCAATTGCACCGATCATTTGGCAAGTACCCCGAGATTGCACCTGCCTTCACTGCACCGTATCTCGCTCCCTCGCAAACAGCCCTGCTAGTTTTGCCTACAGAGCTGACGACGAGACTATACAAACAATATCCCTTCCTAATAGAAAGGGGTCACAGAGTCAGGTGACAGCAATGAGAATGCTGACTGAAACCAGGTATTTCTATACAAGACCTATAACTTGGACTGCATATAGGTTTTAAAATTAGCTGATCGAGATATTTTTTGTTTTAAATAAAAGCCCTTTTGATTAAATGGGAACTTGCATGGGAAGATATCATGTTTCATTAAAATACTGGGGGCTTTCATTGAAAACAACCACCAAACTTTCCTCTTACAACCCAAATATTTTAGTTTTAAGCAACTAAAAATCAAAGCTCTTACCTATTGAGAACAAATACCTGATTTTTTTTCTTTTTTTTTTAATTATAAACCAACCCACAACTCTGCAGGAAATTCAGGAATATGTGTGTGTGCACACACATGGGTTAGCTAAAGTTGAGCCATTATCAGTGACAATCCAGCTTTCTACATAATTAGAGGCACACATGGACAACTCTTCAATGGGCACCGGGTAAGATGGGCAAGGGCAGGTGTAATGCTACAGATATACAAATTCTTGTAAAATATTTTTAGCATCCCAACAATCCAGACCTGCCACATGCATGCTATTCTGGTATAGAATACTAGATGCATACCAAGACACCTACTGAAGTTTGCGTAAGCGTTTCCTTTGGAAAACCTTTAAGAAAATAAAAAGATTCAAAGAACTGCAGCTGACACTATCACACTTTCACTAAATCACCTTGTCCCACCAAGCCCAGCCCTTCCCTGGCCCTATTAGCAAAACCAGTTCTCAAAATTTGCCCTACTGCAGATCTCAGGCTAAGCTGCTATAAATAATGTAACTACTCACAACTACTTTTTTCCAAGAGAGTTGTAAACCATGCACCATACCTCCAACAAGCCCATTTTCCTTTGTCATCTCCATTTTGACAGTGGCTTGATTAGATGTCTTCATCTTTGAGGTATTAATGGATTCCAGGAGGGAGACAAACTCTAGAAAGTTAGATTCATTGGGCACCTGTCCTTCTTTAGCTTCTAGATCTGATTTAGAAGTTGGTAAGGTCTTTTCTTTGTCAGATACCTCCATGAAATTCTTACTTAAAAGCACGTCTGTCCCACTGTCTACACTCAGCACCCGCATGTGCCTCTTTTCGTGAGCAGTTCTACAAGACTGCGGGTCTAGGTTCTGCAGGTCTTCCTTAGGAGTTAAATCCATGGTCTGGACACTTTCAGAAGCATTCTCCTGATTTGGATCTGAACAAGTGTTAGTTTCTAAAGGAGTATTTGCTGGGTTGCTGTGTTCTTTTACTGCATCACCCGATTCATAGCCAGAGCATTGGTTGGACGATAGTTCTGCCTTTAAAATTTCTGGAGTTCTTTCGCTTTCACTAACTTCTGGGCAAGCCTTACCTTTACTGTCATCAGACAGGTCAAAAGTGATAATCGGGATTCTAAGCTGTTCATTAGTTTGCTGACTTGGCCAACCTGCTGTAATGATACCAGACTCGAGGGCCGAGCTCGTTCTTTCAGTTCCCAGAGCCTTTAGGTGGACGGAGCCTGCTAGGTCACCGAGAGTGGTGTTTGGCGTAGTACTCATTGTGATGACAATTTTAATGGGCTCACATAGCTGGTCTCCAGGAAGAGAGTTGTCCACAACTGCAACAGCAGTCTCACTGACCGAGCAATCAAGGTCCTCGTGGGTATTACTGACATTGCAAGAACTTTCCACGTGCTCGGGATCTTTAGTTGCAATGGCATTGCACTGTGGGCAGTTACTAGTAAAGCCTGTCTGTGCTGATCCATCTGGCAATTTCTCTCTTTTATAGCTCTTAGGATTACTCAAATGGTCTGAAATAACTGAATTTTCACTGTCCCATGGCCCTGAAGAAACACCAGTCCTTAAAATATCACCTTGTGATGAAGAAATATTGGAGAAGTTTTTAGCTACATCTCTGTCCACATGAATATCTTGGGATCCATGCTGTCCATATGGCTGCCCGTTCCCTCCTTTTTCATTTACTCCTTTATCGCAAAGCATTTCCATAGCAGCTGGTTTTGTCACTATTGCTGATGTGGTGGCACCTGAAGCAGAGGCTGTAGAAACAGGTAATACATCTGCTTTGATACAGGGTGAGGTAGATGAAACTGGTGGTGCAGTCTGGTCTTCTAATACCGTAACACCTAATGAAAGACATATGGGAGTTAGGGCTCAATGAACAATGTACATTATTAAGTATGATCTTTAGGTAGCACAATCTGGTCCAGAGCAGAGCAAAGGAAGAACAGGTAATATAGCTGATTAAAACAGTTCCTAAGAAAGGATCTTTTTTGTTAGCTACATGTGAAATACTATAAAAGCAAGCTGGAATCCTTCCAGGTCAGGACAGGTATAGCAGCATGTCTACTTAAATAATCAAAATAGCTCAAGAATCAGCTAATATCAAAACTAAAATGTTTCACAGAATTATCCCCACTTAGGGAGAGGTGAAAAAAAGAAAAAGCCAGTGCAGCAGAAGTTGGTTACATTACTTTGTGCAATTCCTAAATGATCCCATAGGATACTGTGATCAACCTTAACAAGAAAGAGATTAAAATATGCTGAGACAACCCAAGCACTGGAACTGTAGGCAAAGCAAGGTGTGATATATGGAGTATACACTACAGAGCTAAAGGTCAACAATCACAACAGGACTCTACAGTCAGAAGGTGTTTAAGGGCTTTAAGATGCAATCTGAGCATTGGCTTCCTGGCTCAATGATTTCCAGAGGCACAGAGCTTCCCAAGAATGCGGGGGAAAAGCTCTTCCATCCCCCAGTGTCAAAACAGGGGGGGCTATTTGCGTGTTCACCAAAACATTGCATCCCAAACATCCTGGCTGACAGCTAAGAAAGCTTAGTCTGTTAGAATTTCCTTGAGATTTTTGTTCTCTCAAGCTTTCCTATTCAGCTCCTAACATGAGGCATAACAGAACCTGCTACGAGGTCCTTCGTGCCATTTTTTTTTGTTGTGGCAAGCAATGATTAAACAAAGGCTTAAAGGTCTTTATAAAGCCTTTAAGATACCTCTAAGATCTTCAATAGTTTCTCGTGTTGGCAGATCCTAAAAATAAAGAGAAACACACAAAATTAGTATGGGCATTCATTAAATTCTGTTGGAAAAATCATCTATCAATGCAATAGCTATCTAATCAAAGGTTAATTACTGCATTAGTAAGTTGCTTAACATAACGGAAATTTGGACATGTACCTTGCACAAAATGCAAGGGGTGGGTAAGGGAGATGGTTATAGAACATGCTCCAAATTGCATTGTTGCAATTGTGTGTGATGTTTGGAGAGGAAAAAAAACCTACGATTTCTTTAAAAAACATTTTACAGTATCTAATCCAGATTAGTTTCTGGGTTTGGGGTTTTTTTTTTAATATTAAGGATAGAACGCGTTCATCTGTTCTACTTTTCCAGCTATGTGTTTCCAAAGCACTAAAACGAAGAGTTTGGTCTCCAGTACTTGGTAACAATTTTCTCAATGGAAAACTAGAGAACAGAGCTATTAAATTATCATAGTCTGTGGGAACTCACTGTGGAGCGCAAAACTAAACACAATACTCCAGAGGAGTATTAGACTTTGGGAGTCTAAATTCAACAGCCTAAATGCATAACTGGAAAAAAGCTATTGGGAAAAATTAATGTGGGTGTCTTCTGGCTAACTGGCACCAAAATCATTATCTCCTAAAATTTCATGGTGGTATCCTGGCAGCAAGAACAGATTAGGTCTGACCTGACTCAACCTACATGTTTGGAAATGGAAGACTTGGACAAGATACCAAGAAGAAATGTGGTTGGAGACTGGACAAGTACCAGAATATTAGCGAATAGAACAGAAACAACGTGAAAAATATTTTATCTCATAAAAGAAAACTATTAATGCCTATGAATCATACAGATACTACAAAAACGTAAAAACACTCCAGGAAACGAAAAAATGATTCTGATTCAGACCAGGACTTGAATCGTTTGCAGTAAATAGGGACACAGGGTGGAAGGGGGAGGGGATATGAAGACAGAATGAAGTATCAAATAGCTACTTATTCAGAGATCACTAACCATCCTCTGCACTGACTGAGACAGGAGTCCTGTAGAAAAAATAGCATGGGGTCACATAATTAAAGGTTTTATCACAGTGTATACGGGGAATAGCTTAAGATTACACAGACAGCATTCATTCTGTTTCTTAATTTTTGAATACTGAACTCTTCAACCTTCTGATGAGTGTTTCCTAGTTTTTCTTTACTAATAACATCTACACACATCATCTTCATCACTTCATACGCTATTGATTTAGAAAGCATGGCCAACAGCATGGAATGCACACATGTATTTTTAACCTCATGTCAGCATCTCCTAGATCTAAATAATGTTTTTTATGCTTTGTTTACGTACTCAAGAAATGTATTGGGTTCATTTTATAAGCATAAGTCTAGTTACACAAAACCAAATTATTAATGATACAGGAACAGATCACTTCTAAGGCAATGAGAGGCTGCTCCGATTGCATTAGCCTCTCCCTTCTTTCAAAGCAGCCACAAAAATTAGTTGCTCTTGACAAGATTTACGAAGGCCATTTGGTATTTATAGAGCAGTCTAGACCCCTCCCAAGACGTGAAGAATTATCTGTACCAGTTCCGGCTTTGCAAACACAAACCTTTGGGACAAGGCTGACAGCAGTGGTATACCAAGTACATCCATAGAACAAACCTTCCTCCTCATGGCAGACCTACACTTCAAGTGATCAGTACCTGGCAATATAAAACTCCGTATGGTAAACTGTGGATCGCACAAAGTTAATACACTATACAGAAAACAGCATACTAACCATTGCTCCAGGTGAGTTCTGTGAGTGCAGAGACTGCACCCTTGAACTGTCGTGAATTGTTTGGGTAGAGTCATTTTGGTTGGTCTCACCGATGACACCATTATCCCCAGTGTTATTGCTGAAAAGGAAGCAAATAAAAAAATAAAGCAATTCTTCTTGCTACAGAGAATCACAGTGAGCTTTGGGAAGAAGCTGAGGAATAGTAACAGAATAGGAAGGAGTAGCAGAGCACAATGAAGTAACAGCACATTTTTCCCCTCCAATTCTGAAAGCACAAGGCTGAAAAATACTGTAAGCCCTTTTTGTCCCTCTTCCTTCTCCAAGAGGACTTCTTAAAAATAAAGAAATAAAAATCCCTCAATATAAAATTATTCTGGTGTCTTACGAAGTAGGACACTGCTATGAGAAACACAATGACATCTCTTCAAACTCCTTATGTGTATACAATCTCAGTTAGCCTGCCTGACATGCACATGGATTTATTGGCACAAAATGCTGTTTGGGTCTTCTCATTAGATGTACGACAATCAAACACTACACCTTCCACAATTTTTGCGTTTTGCATCCTTCAACTATACCTTTGTGTACATGTTGTTTATCTAACTGTCTGTTTATTTTAAAACCTCCTATGTTCGGAAATGGGAGACTTGGACAAGATACCAAGAATAAATGTGGTTGGAAACTGGACAAATACCAGAATATTAGGGACTAGAATAGAAACCCTGTTTTCTGTTTTTTTTCCAAACAACTATTTGAAACACAATACATAATGTGTACTGCTATAATAATTAGACCACAAAATAAAGTTGTTCCTCTGGTTTTAGCTAGGGCAAACATATATCCATTACTAAATTTTGTACATTACAAGCAACTCGTTGAGTACTTCCTTTGTGGATGCATTCAGCTATCCACTAACTTTTTACACATATTTTCTACTAGCTTTTTCATGGATATAAGTATTTTTGGACACGGTTTACTAATGAGAACCAACACACTCTCTCAGGTACAATACAACAAAAATTCAGTTGAAAAAAATCAGCATTATAGTGAAATGTCAAAAAGTGTGGGTTTGGGGGGTTTTTTTTTGTTTGTAAGATTGTTTTCTTTCTCAAAAATGTATTTTTAAAATCAAACAGCTGTATATAAGCTACAAAATTATTTACCTATGGGTCTCAGTCACCTTTCCACAATTTTTTTTGTGGTTAGCTGGCTTCAAAAGCTTGCTCAAACAACCTGCCTACTACCAGGGCCTGTTTAAAAGCTTCTGTCATCCATCTAGTCAAAATATGAAGTTGTTTATTTTCCAATCAAGTACTAAATAATGGGCTGTAGTGCCTAGGAAATCCTAGGAGGAACAGTTATGTGATTTAACAGTAAGTTATTCTACCTCTACTTCTTGGCCAAAGCAAAAGCAGAATAATGCAAGTTTGCATTCATTTCAT